AAAGAGTCTGGTTCCCTCCTCCCTCAGCCCGCCCTTGAGATACTTGTCAGCGTTAATAAGGTCTCCCCTCAGCCTTCTCTTCTCCAGACTAAAGAGTCCCAGCTCTCTCAGTCTCTCCTCATAAGGGAGATGCTCCAGTCCTTGAATCATCTTTGTAGCCCTGCGCTGGACTCTTTCCAGTAGTTCCCTGTCCCTCTTGAACTGGGGAGCCCAGAACTGGACGCAGGATTCCAGTTGTGGCCTCACCAGTGCAGAGTAGAGGGGATCTCAGATCTCAAGATCTCAGCTGTGCAAGGGGCCTTTCCCAAAACAAAGAGGTGTTTGCTGGTGCCTGGACGTGGAAGCACAGCGGGCAAGCAGGAAAGCCCTTCTACAAAATGCCATGGAGGTGCTCAATGCCCCTTCTGAAACCCACAAAATGCTTATTGCCATGTTTCTGGTGCTATTTAGGCTCCTCTACGGCTCCCTTCCCTCCCCGCTGGCTGGTTCCCCGTTGTGCCGCTCCTCCGGCATTCCCGGCTCCCTGCCCCTTACTCCGTGGCAGCCGGCTGCCGCCGTGGTGGATTTCTGCAGGGTGCTGTTCCCTGGCAGGGATTTTACCAAAGTCCCTGGGCACGGGACACCCGGGTGAGCAGAGAGGGGCAGAGCCCTCGGGGTGTGTTCGGAGGAAGGGGGACGGCATCCAGCGGGGTCTGGGAAGCCACTGGGAAGGTGGCACCACACAGCGTGGGGTCCAGGGACAGTGGGGCAGAGGTGTGACTGTCCCTGAAGACACATCAGGTTTTTTTACCACAATCTCCTTCTCTGTGCTGGGTCAACACACTCCAATCACACCAAGTAAGCGAGAGCCCGTTTCTTGCTTTGGAACAGAGGTGCCGTACCCGTGAGCAGAGACAGCAGCGTGTGGGCTCTGCTCCCCCAGCCCCTCTCCCTGTTCCCTTACTCCGTGGCAGCCGGCTGCCGCCGTGGTGGATTTCTGCAGGGTGCTGTTCCCTGGCAGGGATTTTACCAAAGTCCCTGGGCACGGGACACCCGGGTGAGCAGAGAGGGGCAGAGCCCTCGGGGTGTGTTCGGAGGAAGGGGGACGGCAGCCAGCGGGGTCTGGGAAGCCACCGGGAAGGTGGCACCGCACAGCGTGGGGTCCAGGGACAGTGGGGCAGAGGTGTGACTGTCCCTGAAGACATGTCAGGTTTTTTTACACAGGGAATTTAACCGCAATCTCCTCCTCTGTGCTGGGTCAATACACTCCAATCACACCAAGTAAGGAAGAGCCTGTTTCTTGCTTTGGAACAGAGGTGTCGTACCTGTGAGCAGAGACAGCAGCGTGGGAGGGCTCTGCTCCCCCAGCCCCTCTCCCTGTGCGGGGGACCCTTCCTCTGCCTCCGGGGGGAAACAGCTCCTGCCTTGTTGGGGTGGTGAAGGGCCTCGGTGCATCCCTGCTTCCCTGCTCGGGAAACCTTCACACCCTCAGGAGCTGCAGCCTCCCCAACAGCCCTCGCGATGCCGAACAACTGAAGCGCTTTCTCTTCAAAGCAGAAAAAAGAAAAAAAAAAATCAAAAGTAACCCCTGGGATGCGGGGGACCCTTCCTCTGCCTCCGGGGGGAAACAGCTCCTGCCTTGTTGGGGTGGTGAAGGGCCTCGGTGCATCCCTGCTTCCCTGCTCGGGAAACCTTCACACCCTCAGGAGCTGCAGCCTCCCCAACAGCCCTCGTGATGCCGAACAACTGAAGCGCTTTCTCTTCAAAGCAGAAAAAAGAAAAAAAAAAATCAAAAGTAACCCCTGGGAGCTGTGGGGTGGGGCCAGCCTGTGACCCCTTTTGACTTGTAGGGTGCAGGAGCCAACAGCCCCTCTCCCTCTCCACCAAATCAGAACAGGCAGCGCGTGGTTGCTGTCGCTGCTTTGCATAAATCAGGAGATCCAGCTTTGTGGCTCTTACTTGGAGTATTTCCTATAAAAAGCACATCTGTGGCCATACTTTTTGGTGCAATAGACTTCAGCCTGGAAGCAAAAGCACACAAACAATGCTAAATTCATGCTGACTGGAGTAGATTCCAAGGGAAAGAAGAGTTGGGAAAGCACCTACTTAAGTACTGACTAAGGATATTATCTCTGATCTGAATCTAGCCTGTGTGTGTGTGTTACTGTTGAGTACATAGTGCGGTTTCAGACATGGCCAGAGACAAGAAAAAATGATTGTTTCAGGGTAACCACAAGGAAGATGAATGCAAATGTATTCCTGTAACTGGGAGAGTTCCCTTGCTCTTAAGTTGGGCTCCGGTACATGGCCTCAGGGAAGCAAATTTGCAACTACCTTCATTAAATTGTTTAGGAATGATTAATCAGGAGTCAGAGATGTAAAATTTTCGCACATTGTGAAATGTTAGTTCATTTGCTGCAGTTGCCTACAGTCCGAGGGTGGCTTTAGCCACCTTTACTCCAGGGACGGGTACCCGTGTTTGACAGATGCTTCCTGTTGGCCCTTATCTCCTCCAGAAGCCGGGGTGATAAGCCTTCACCGCCTGAATCACAGCCACCTGCATCACGCGGGGACCAAAGTGGGTTCAAGTGACGTGTGTCAGCGGCTACGGCCTCCCGTGTAGTGCGTCCCTGCTGTCGTCACCGGCCCAGGATGAGCCCCCCCGGCAGGAGATGCTGCCCCCAGACCCCACTCTGCCGTGTCCATCCATCCCTCAGGTGGCTTCAGTGTCACCACACCCCGAGTCCAAGCCCTGGCGGCTGGAAGCGCAGCTCACACAGAACATAAAAATACAGAGCGCCACAGCCTGTGTCTGCACATTATCACCTTCCTGACACCCACCTCTGATGGGGTGGGAAGAGTGAAAAGGGCCAGGACTGGAGTTTTAATGTTTTTAACCTCAGACAAGCTGGAAAACCCTCTGAGGAACCAGCGCCTCTGCCGCACCTTGATGCGGGGTTTGCCCGCCGCT